GCTGCTTCTCTGACCTTCAAAGGTACATCCTCCTTGCTCTAAATGGGATGATGAGCTTTGTCTCAAGAGAAACTAATTAAACAGATAGTCTTATTTGTTTTTATTTTAATAAAAGGTTTCCTATTAACTCTCCCCGATTCAAATAAACCATCTTTAAACCCTTAATCCATGGTTACTCATAGAATGACCAGTGCACATTCACCATGCTTTCAAAAGTCAGGGCAATGTGGGGTTCATCGCCACCTCAGAATGGAAGCCATCCCTGTGCCCAGGCTGAAAACACTCCCCGCTCATGTGAATGATAGCTCCTGGTAGCAGTTTGCATTAGCTTTTGGCAGCCTCCTTCAGGAGTGGGATATTAAATTATCTGTAGTTTTCTCTAATTTAATCTGTGCCCTCGGGGTCCTTGGTTAACATTTTTGAAGTACTTTAATCAGGAATCTACACTCAGGGTAGTTAGTTAACATTTGAAAGACCCTACTCAAGATTCTGTACACCAGTGGCAACCAATGCATCACATCTTGCTATCTGAGACTGCCCCACTGGGTGTATTACTTAGAATAAAAGATGTTAGAAGTAATTTTTCATGGTGAAAAGAAAGATATTTAAGAGTTGTAGTTGACCACGTGCTTCCACTGGGACATGATTGGAGGATAAGGATTGGTGAGTCCAGCAACCTACCAGTCTAGGTCTAGAGCTTGATCTGGTTCTGTGCTTACAGCCCTGGGAGAATTTCAACTCACCTGGCCAGTCAGTGCAGCATAGGTCTCTGCCTGCTTCTCTACCCCGAGTTCATTGGACATGCACTGTGGCTGCACTCATTGCATTTTTTGTCTACAGAGATATTATTCTCAATTTAGAGGCAGACTATTTAAATTTTTTTTTAAAATTATATTTTATATATTATAGTGGTTTTTAAAGAAAAGGTAGATTGGATATGTAAAGTATGAAGTTGTAATGACATTTTGATCAGAAGCAGAAGAAATATTTTTTATTAATGGTAACTTTCTTATTATTTCCTGCTTGAGAATATTGTCAGTATTCTGAGGCCAGGTTCCCAGCTGTGGGGGCAGCATGGTGGATATGTAATCCTGACACTTTAGTTGTCTAATTAGGCTTGATGATGTTTTGAAGGCTCCTTTTTATATTGAATTCTGTTCCATAGTGGCAGACATTATATAATGTTTTTAAATGCATGTAAAGTATGTAGGTCAAAAATGTGTTATATAATTTAGGTACTATGCATAATATAAGGGATGACATCAACCAGGAATTTCTATAGTAAATATTGCTATTATCTCTTATACCTTATTTAACATCTCTATATAAAAGCCTAAATGACCCAATGACAAGTATGATGTGCACTGACCACCAGGGGGCAGACACTCTACACAGGAGCTGCCCCCTGGTGGTCAGTACGCTCCCACAGCTAACCTTGACGGCTGGCTAACCTCTTGCAGTCTCTATCCCACTCAGGCCAGCCCTGATCAGCCCCTTCTCCCCAGCCGCCAACCCCCCACAGTCCACCCTTCTAGCCCTCCCTCGCTGGCCGGCCATGATATTCCTGATTGGGACTATGCGAGATGGACCCTGGATCCTATTGGCCCCAATCCCTGGCCAGGCCGAGGGACTCCACATGTGCACAAATTTGTGCATCGGGCTTCTTGTATATAAATATAAATGATAATTGAATATAGCATATTCAATAAAAATTAGTATTTTACCAGAGCCCTGACCTCCTGCAATTTGATGACATATGGCATATGTTACCAATCTTTTCTTTCCAAGCATATTATGAAAAGAAAACAGCCAGGGATTGGTTTAGATTGCTTTCTGTACTTACTGGGAAACAAAGAAGTAATTTTCTTTTATAAAATATTTACTACATAAATGGATCATTCACCTTGTTTATCTTTTTAAATGGGTTATCTATAATATAGGTATAGCTACTTAGCTATAAGCTTAGTGATCAGAGATACATAGATTTACACTGTGGTTAGTAGAACCATGGAATTGTAGAGCTTTAAAGGACTGTAGATATCATCTAGTTAAATATTCCACGAGTCCCGAAGTGTCTTAGTAAACCTCCTTTAGGATTCCATGCTGAAGCTCAGCTAGTGACATCATTTACACCCACTTAGATATGGATATGTGGATGTAGAGGATGTAAATGCATGCCTGCCTGTCTAATAAAAAACAGTTGGGGCCAGTAGGATTTTAGTAGAAATAACTGGTTAAAGGACATGAGAGTCTTTTATCATTTAGCACTGTTCTACCAGTGAAAGTCTTTAAAACCAGGTTCAGGAAATCCTCACTTAAGACACTCGAAGCAAAAACATTGCAAATAAGAAATTGGAAAAGGGAGTGAGGTGTTTCTGTTTTTCAAATTGTTCTAAAACCCACACACTGAGTGCATATTAAAGCAATCTAGATACAAGGGAACGATTTGGGGTGTGGTAGTTTAGAAATATGTGCTGTGAGTCCTTACTGAATTTCAGCTAAATTATTTTGTACAAGGCTTTTTCATAAAGTACCAATAACTATCTGACATCACAGGGTTTTTGTGATTATTAGACTAGTCTTCATGGTTGATTATATTATCCTTTTAAATTGCCTTTTAATTTTCAGCTGATGTAAGTGAAATAGATACTATAAATTAATTAATATTGGATCTGTTCCGTGTTTATGCTCTAGGAGATTTCAGGAGACAAGCAGATAGATAAGGTTCTAAACAAATGTGCCATTTGGGGCAGTGGCATTTTAATATTCATACCTTGCTTATTTGTTATTTTTAATAGGCTGTCTATTATATTAATGTGAATGTAATGTAGGACTTTATTGACTTAAACTATATTTATCTTATCACAAGTCACTCTTGCGGAATGTGGTTGTCATTTTCAGGTGACCCTTTGCATTGTCCTTTTTGTTACTTATAGATCCTCTTTTATGATGATCATTTTGTCTCAGCTAAATTTCTATTACATTCCTTCTGCCTGAAGTTCTGCTTATCTTTTCGCTTCATTTCCCCTTCTAACAGGTTGAATTTAGATAGTCCCTTGGCTGTTAAATACTTTTCTCATTTTGCCTTTGAGGTTGGTCTTGAAGGATGGAATAATTTTGTGGCCTGAGGTGTCTAGCTCTTTGTGTATGAAACAAAACTTGCAACTAAAATGCGTATTCTTGAAATGTCACTTTTGGAAATATCAATGGCTTTTTTGATTTGCCTTCCGAATTGATTGGCATGTGATCTTTAGAGGCTTACAGCTTCTTGGTTCTACTTCCAGTTTACTAAAAAAACTTAAATTTAAATACCATATCATCACATGCCCTCTATTCTGTGAGGAAAACCACATGCATTTGGTTGTTATTTATGTCTTTTCTCTCTTTAGGGGATTTTAGGGATCTGTTGAATCTAAGTAAGACAATAGCATCAGGGATAAATATGCAGAGGACCTACTTTAGATTAAGGCTATATAAGTAATTATATTATTAAATACCTTTGGTTTATATCTATGTTCATTTTATGAATTAGGAGCAAGACACGGGACTGAGGAGAATAGCCTACTTGTTATCTGGAGTAGAGGTTTTAGGAAATGTATTTAGTGGTTACAGGGACTTACTCCATATACTGGGTATTTTCATTTAGGGAATGAAGTAAACATGTTTCAGTGCATTCCAGTAGTGCCAAACAACCCAGACTGAGCTTGTTGTATTGAGCTTGAATCTACTAAAGAAAATGGATGCATCATTCAGAATAGCACCTATTTAAAAAATGATCCAGTTGTTTTGAGGAGTGGAGGAGAGGGGAGGATGGGGAAACTTTATTAGAGTCCATAGTTGTTTGTATTCACTTTTGCTTTGTCTTTCCTAATCCAGCCACTTGTAAAATTAGAGAATTATTTTTAGGCCAGAAGTTTTCAACTGGTGCTGCTTTTTTCTTTTGGCAATAGTGCTGGCTCTGAAATCATAGGAGACGCTTTGTGTATATGTGTATTCGCTTGAGAGAAGGGCCTGAGGATTTCAGCAGATAACAAACCTCAGGTTCCAGTCCCACCTACTTCCCAAGTTCTCACAGGGTTAAGAACACTGTGCCAGATATTTCTTCCATTTCAAATCCAGGTAGCTTGGATGAAAGCTGTAGTCTAAAGACCTAGAGAGTCTACTGACATATACATGTAGGTTCTCAGAAAACCTACATGTATAGCAAAGCAGTCTTCAGTAGATAATAATCTTATGCTTGATGTACTCTCAAAGTTTTGTCTCACTTGCATGCATTATTTTTCCTTTACTTTCTTCATCTCTTTTATAATTTGTTATAATCTAATCTTATTTACCTCTTCTTCATGTATTTATAAATGTCTTTATATCAAGCTACTTATCTCTTCTAACTAATAAATAGGAATTTGATACTATGGTCTGTCTCTTTAGAATTCTCATGCCAAGTATGACATTTTATAAACAGTGAATGCTTAATAAATGTCATAAACTAACTGACTCATTCTGGAAGTGGTAGTCTATGGAAACTTCCCGTGGAGATTTGCTTTCTTGCTGTTAATTGTTTCTATCTCTTATTACTTAGCAATTGGGATGGATTGAGGAATGTAGTGTTTTTGTGTGATTCTTACTTACTATGCACATATAATTTAATTACAAATATAATTAAAAAATCTCTACTTAAAAAAATTTAAATTGATTTTTAGAGAGAAAGGAAGGAAGAGGGAGAGAGAGAAACATCAATGTGAAAGCAAAACTTCCACTGGCTGCCTACTGTACATCCCCTACCAGGGATCCATTCTGCAACCTGGGCATATGCCTTGACTGGGAAAGGAACTGGCAAACTTTCAGTGCATGGGGCAATGCTCAACCAACTGAGCCACACCAGCCAGAGCTTCTCTGATTTCTTTAAGGGAGCAATCAAAGCAGTGAATCCATGTGCCAGACCCATTGTGTTTTTGAACTTTGTGATGGAAGCTGTGTTTATTTATTTATTTTTTTTACAGTGAGAGAGATAAACCTACAGGACATCAAGGAGGACTTGGACTTGGATCCAGAGGAAAACAGCACCCTTTTTATGGGCATCCTCATCAAGGGGCTTGCCAAACTGAAGAAGATCCCGGAAACCGTTAAGGCCATCAAGGAGCGCTTGGAGCAGGAGCTCCAACAGATTGTGAAGAGGTCTACCACCCAGGTGGCGGACAGCAGCTATCAGAGAGGAGAGAACCTCACTGCGGACAACCAGCCAAGGTGGGTGGGGTGCAGTTCCTGTGTTTGATAGCTATTGTACCTTTTCTAAGGCGGGAGGTAAGTAATTATCTTCTTTTGTTGCTATTTCTTGAACTTGGGCTACTATAGTTCATATAAACTCAATTGGTGAAAACAGCTTGAAAAGGTATAATTCAGTTGGCTTTTTTCCCCCCCAGCTGGCTTTTGACATAGTTGCAAAGTTTCAAAGCATTTTGTTCAGATGCAAATGAAAAAATAGGGCAATTATTGGATATTTACTAAGTATTAAGCAGAATTCAAGGCAATTTGTATATATTATGTCATTAAGTATCACTACAGCTTTATGAACTACTTATTAGCCATAATTTACAGTTAGGGAAATGGGCCTCAAAGATTAAGTAATTAGTCAAGGTCACAGAGCAAGTGACTCATCTTGGAGTTGAATGCAAGGCCATGGTCCTTCTTGTCCCATGTTTTGCCCTCTAATATGTGTGTATTTGTCAGTAGGCAAATCAGACTCAGGAATTATTGTATCTATTGAAAACAACTAATTGGATTGGGATTTCATACTTTTTGTTTTCTAAGGGGAAAACTGAAACTGGGCTCTGATCCAAACTCCGTCTTGACTGCCAGGCACTGGGACAGCACGTCTGTCAAAACAGAGTCTAGGGCACAGCAGGTTAATGCCATCTGATGGTGGGACCAGAGCTTTGAAATGGAGGCTTTCCTAGAAAATCCAGGATCCACTTTGTCCTCTTCCTCCTCTGCTTTTACCCCGAGCTCTCCACATACACCAGACATGGACAAGGCAGGGATTTGCATGGGGGAAACTACAGTTTCATCTGAGAGCACAGGGCATAGCAAGGCATGTCTTCTGAGTTCAAATCTAGTGAGTTTTTCTGGAAAGGGATCAGAATCTTGTTGACATGCTGTGAAGGAAATTCTGCTGTTTGTTAGGGCTTACATTTTTTCTTTAGAGAAGATACGTTTTAAGGGAAATAATAATAGCTCACTTAGTATAGCATTTCCCAGACTTTACATTTTTTTTTTTTTGAAAAACAGTGTATGCTGTTTTCATTTTTATATTCTTTTATATATCTAAATAACAATAATTTAAAATTTCAACATTAATTCCCTTGTAAATTTCATTCAAAAGTATAATACAATGAAGTTGTTGAAGAAACCGTCCTTCACCCCTCTCCTGCCATAGAATATTTCAGAGCACATGTGATGAGCATGGGTTTAGGAGTTGAGCAGACCTGACTAAGGAGAATAACAACTGCTTCATAGGGTTGCTGGCATTAGAGGAGGAGATATGGTTAGACTTTTGTTGGGAGTGCCAGGAACTGTATTGGTGTATATTAATACACACATTTTTTATTCTTGCTTCCTTCCTCAACTTCATGTTCTTTGATCACTCACAGTGTGACCCAAAGATGCTGGGACTGGTTCTGAATTGAATTTTTCTTTGTTGCCCGATGCCTGGATTTCCTTGGTGACCTTTTGCCTCCTTATTAATGAACACTCCCGAATTCCAGCTCTCTGTGCCCTGTTGTTGCAAGCCCCTAGATGAATACGCTGAACTTTCATAGTCATGAAATAACATGACTACAGTCATGAAATAACATGACTGTAGTATATATTGGAAATAAAATGAAAGGGCACGGATCAATAACTTTGCTGCAGATCTCATTACAGTGCCCTTAAAAGTAATGTGTCTTTCAAAGGATTTTGACCTCTTCCTCTTCTGTTCCCTAAGCCCCTTGCAGAATTCACGAGTGGAAATTGCAGCAGATGTGGAAATTCAGCATACTACTCTGAAGATAATGTTTCTCTAGGAGGAATGAGTCAGCAAGAGGGTTTTTTCCCCTTCTCTAAGTTTTGTTTTTGTCAATATTTTAAAGGCTTATGTAGGCAGGATATATGGGACAGGAGCAAGTGAACAACCAAGCTATCTAAAACATGATCTCATTTTATAAAATGTACAAATCTGAAATTTTGGGCCCCAAATTTTTGGGATAAAATAGTACAGAGAAAGCGAATATCTGCGGTGAACAACTTAAAAAAAGTAAATTCAATTTATTGAGGTGAAATTGGTTGATAAAATAATACAGGTTTCAAGTGTTCAGTTCTTTTAAAAAATGTATTTTTATTGATTTCAGAGAGGAAGGGAGAGGGAGAGAGAGAGAAATATCAATGATGAGAGAGAATCATTGATAGGCTACCTCCTGCATACCCCACAATGGGGATCAAACTCATAAACTGGGCACGTGCCCTGACCGGGTATTGAACTGTGACCTCCTGCAGCTGGGCTCATGTGTTCAGTTCTGTAACACATCACCTGTAGTTTGCATTGTGTTTACCACCCAAAGTCAAGTCTCCTTCCTTCGCCACATTTGACTCCTTTACCCTGTACTGTCTCCTCCCCAACCTCCCTTCCTTTCCCTCTGATAGTGAACCACTTTTTGGTTCAAATTCTTGGGCTGGCACTCCCAGTGACTGATGATTTTGAGCTTGTCTGTGAGCTATCAAATGCTTTATAATGTCTCAAGAATTACCTTGGACTGTCAAATTACAGCAGGAAGGCTGGGGAGTGTTGGGGAGAGGGGAAAGAGATCAACCAAAGGACTTGTATGCATGCATATAAGCATAACCAATGGACACAAGACACTGGGGGTGAGTGGGATGAGGGCATGTAACAGAGGGTATGGGAGGCTGGGGAAGGTCTATGGGGGAAAAAAGGAGATACATGTACTATTATATGTAACACTTTAAACAATAAAATAAAATTAAAAGAAAAAAAGAATTACCTTGGAAACGTCATTGAAAAGCGATGATTTTCATTGCTGCTTCTTAGAGGTTTAAAATTTGGGAAAGGATAGTGTCAGATTATCCCTTGAAGCTTGCATGGTACTTTGTGTTCATCGAATTTTACTGGGAGTTGTTAGTGGCATTTAGAGAGCAGTAAAGTCACAATATTTTGCATATATATATATATATATATATATATATATATATATTTACCATTACATCCAAGGATTCTAAGCCAAAGGTAAGAATCTGTTTATGGAAAATTGAAGCATTGCCAAAAAGAACTATGATCCTTTCTTCTCCAGCATGCATATTTTCTCTCTCCCAAGTGGGGGGGGGGGGGGTGGAAAGACTATTAGAAATCATTAGCATATAAATGCTACTCTGAGGCAAGATACCATTCTATAACTTTTCCTAGAAGTTTCATTGTTTAATATCATCCTATTAAATATATTCTGGTTGTGATGCATTGCAGGCTTGTTTTCATTTGTTTTTATGTAGAGAATTAATGTTGCGTGCTACTTTGCTAGAAAAGTGGAAGGAACCAAGCTAGAATTCCGTCTTTTTTTCACTTCCTGCAGAGCCCGTGTACTTTCACAGCCAGTTTTTAAAAAATCACTTGAATGATCTTATTATTTTATTTTTGATCCCCAAGCTATCTAAACTAAAATTCCCAAAATATCTGCTGTCTCTTTATAGGAGAAATATTTTGTCATTCATAATCTATCTAGTGTCTATAAACCTCTACTTGCTATTAAAGGAAAATATTCAACTACTATTGTTGCCAAATTGATAAACATTAGGGCAACATGTGCATTGCCAGTCTCCTAGGACCACCCGCTACCCATCATGTCCTCAGAAAGGAAGGCAGTGTCTTCAATTTCAGGTCTCCAACTCCTGCTGCCTAATCATTGATTCTTTCCCCGAATCTAGCTCATGAGCATTTTCACATCATTTTTGTTTTAAAGAAGCATGAAGAAAACACAGAAGAAATAAAATCTCCTCAAAGGTGCCATAGAAAAGGAAAGAGAAAAGAATGTGGGAAAAGAATGATTGGCATGTGTGAGGCCACTACATCATCTATTTGAAAATGGTCCTGTTTAAATGTCAAGATAAAATTCATTGCAGGGGGAGGTGCTGGAGGCCTGTTCCATTTTGGCAAAACTGTTGGTCTTGAAGAAGGCAAAAAGGGTTGAGTGAGTTGGAGTCATGGCTGCCAGTGAGATCTCTTTCCTTTTTAGAAGGAAACCATTTTGCAGTGTTTCTTGATCTCTCTTATGAATGAAGGAAGATTTTGTCTGATAAAAAAGTAGAGAATGTTGCAATTTCTGTGCTCACTGTCATATTGAAGGAAGGCTCATGGAAAACATAGGGAGGAAATATACTTTAATGCTAAAAATAGTTGTGTTTAGATAATAAGGTCGTATATTTTATTTTCTGCTCTATTTTGCAGCTGTTAAGTTATAGGGAAAATAAATTCCTTAATCAAAAATTAATTTGAACTATTATTCAAGCTGTTTTAATCAGAAGAAGTCATTAAAAATGAAAATGTGCCCTGGCTGAGTGGCTCAGTTGGTTAGAGTTTTGTCCTGTGCACCAAAAGGTTGCAGGTTTGATTCCTGGTCAGGGCACATATCAAGGTTGTGGGTTTGATCCTCATTTGGGTGCTTATGAGAGGCAACCAGTTAATGTTTCTCTTTCACATCAGTGTTTCTCCCTTTCTCTCTCTCTCTCTCTCTCTCTCTCTCTCTCTCAAATCAATAAACATATCCTCAGGTGAGGTTTAAAAATTAATAATAATAAAATAAAATAAAATAAATTTTTATTATTAAGAAAATGAATAATAATAAAAATAATAATAAAAAAAGAAAAGGCCTATTGGGGGTATTAGTATGGAAAATGTAATATCTGTTTGCAGAGCATTACATTACTTTTTATTATTATTTTATGACTGCTCTAAAAATTGAAAAAAAAATGTTTTAAAAGTTCAGAATCCAGAACTCAGGGTAAGGGTATACTTACAAAGGGGAGGCTTACAAAGTGGTTTCATCTATGAGAAAGTCTAAAGACATAGGCACCAATGTTAGTTTTGTAGTACAAGTAGAGTGTTTATGAAAAGAGAAATAAGTGAGGTATTTTTCTTGATTTCTTTTTTTTTTTTCAAATATGTAGCATTTTTTCATCTTCTCTGTCTCTTAGTTACTCTTCTT